CCACACCCAACCCCAAACCCAAGCCTCTAGAGCTCTCGCCGGAGAAGACAGCCCCGCCACTGGAGGAACCGACCGCCGCCACCCGCCGCTGCACTGGAGCACTTTTAGGTCGCCAAACGAGGTAAAATTTCTCTTCTTGACTCGATTTTCGATACTGAACCCACCTGTGGCCAAATCGGAGCCAAACCGCCAGCCAATTGGCCGAAAAACACCGTTGAAACACAGTGGCGCCGCCGCGGGTTTTCTCGATTTTTACCTCCGATGAGGCCCTTCCCGATTCCCGTTCAATATAATTTTTACACCATTGTGACCACCGTCCTTTCCTCTACAGGTTGACCAGAGCAAAACACCAAACCGCGACTCGCGCCGGAGAAACTGCCGCACCCGAGAGCTTCACCGCCGGTAAGTCTCGGTTTTCTAGATTTTTTTGGCCCACTGAGGGTCCTAGGGGTGTTTTATCATAGGAACCAATGCAAGTTTGGCTGAATTCGGTCAAAAACGACCAGAAATGGCCAACCCGAGGTGGATCGCCGCCGTGGGCGGCAGCGCCGTCGCCGAAGCACGGCATAGCTGCCGTGTCGGAATTCCAAAATTGGCTGAATAGGCTCTGGGTCTGATTTGTGGTTTTTGGGGACATGTGCAGGTACCGGAAGTGTGTTTCAGTTTCCGGAGAAAAATTCAAGGAATCTAGGGAATGCCTGTAGGCGCAGTGAGAATCCGATTTTAGACTCCGAAACAAGTAAGGATCCTCACCCTATTTCCTATCACGGCATTAAAGCTTAATAAATGATAAAACGGTATTTTATGAATTAATAGATATGTATAATTAATTAAGATTGCTTATAGGGCCCGAACCTGATATATTTGTCGGTCTGTTCCTGTTTGATGTATTTTACAGTCTAAATGCAGTATAATATTTGATTGTTTATTCTATGGTTTCTTATGCATGAATCACTGTTTAATCTATTATGGATTGAATTATTGTGAACCCGATGTTGTGTTGCCTTATTTGGTATGCGTTACTGGTTTACGTATTCATGTTGATTAGGTAATTGAGACTAAGAAGAATAAAAAAGATATGTGAATTTATAAATGGATAAGTCGACAGCCTCACTAGATATTCTGGGAGATGGTGGACGGACTGGGTTCATAAGGAACCCTACTGGGAACGGGGTCTCTCATATCAGACGGGGTATGGGGACTTTAAATATTTTGGCGCTCATACCAGATGGAGTATGGGGACGGCCCGCTTCACCCTCATACTGGACGGGGTATTGAGGTTTATAGTTTTGATGCTCATATCGGACGGGGTATGGGGACAGTCCTAGAATTAAGGTGAATGGTTCACGTGTAGCGGGGACCTTTATGGATCCCCATGGATACTAGTAGGCTGATAAAAGAGGAAATTTGTTGCCTGATGATTGAAATACAAGAGTATGAGATGTGTTATGTTACAGAGTGTGCATGATCTTATGATGTTTTAATGTTATTGTTTTCATAAGTTATTTTCATGAATTTCACTGAGATAAGTGGACAGTAAAAGGTTTTATCATTGATAAATGAATTTGTTATAAATTATGCTCCATTGATCGTTTTTGTTTTTTATCAACCTTTATTTCTGTGACAGTGAGATAGTGTAACATCTTTACTGGGGTAGTGTAACTCATTCCTTACTTAACCATTTCAGATCAGGAGAACTTGGTTCCCGAGCCCGTTCTGCAGGAAGACGGCGAGTAGATGCCTAAAGAATTTATAGTTTTTCTTATAATATTCATTTCTAGTATTTACTTTAGTCAGCTTATTCTTTCATATGTTTAATACATTTTGGTTATTGTGTAAGGGATGTTAAACATAATATTTTATTTCACTTCCGCACTTAAAATTTTCTATATATACGTTTCCTTTTAATTTCCGAGGCCGTTACATAAGCTCTAGTATTAGTTTTGTTAGAAAATAAGAACAAACTAGCAAAACAGTTTAAATCAGATAAGAGTTCTTGTAGAATAATGAAATAGACTTTCTGGATACTTATCAACAAAGAAAATGCCTATTTATAGGGTTATAAAGAAATTGCATGTGTTTAAAATCAGTTCACAAATGTCACCACTATGCCACTACCCTACTAAGAGATACATGTCTAACCAATAAGAAAAAACTAATTACAAGTGACACAACTAGATTGACCAAGTAAAATATTCTTGACTGTAATTTAGAATTGTTCTTTAATAGGGGAAAATACGAATACTATATATCCTCATAAACCTGTATAGTTTGACCATCCCCCATTGTTCGCTGAAGATCAATAAGAAGTCCCTATTTATCAGTGTACTATTCTTAATATAATTGGGTTTTAATCCTTAGAATCATTCAATAACATAACATGATGATAATACTTCACTCTCAATAGCCTTATAAGAAGAAAAGTGTGACTAGAAAGTAATCTCTAAGCTTGTTTTGCAAGTATGACCTTGTTAAAGTAATGAAAATCACTAAACCCTAAACCTCCTTCCATTTTTGGGGAGCTGAGGGAACTCCAATATAGCTAATGAATTCTTATTTCATCCATTTGTCAGCCCCAATAATACCCTATAATAATTTTCTCCAACTATACAAAAACATATTTAGGTATTGAACAGATGTTCATTATATAGATGGGCATAAATTGAGCAAAAGATTTTACGAGAACCTCATTTCTTGTGTAAATAATTTTTTAGAAGTGTCATTTTGATGCCTTCTAGAGATATTATGAATAAAAAACTAGAAAGTGGATTAAGGAGATCTATTCGTTATAGTTGGGAGACCGAGATATTTGCCTTGGCCCTCCATTAACCAAACCCTTAATAAGCTACACAATTGACCCTAAAACTATGCTTTCGTTCCTTCTGAGAAGTCAATTGAGGACTTTTACAAATTTATGGATTGGTCAAGACATGTCACCATATCTCTTTAGGATTTCTTGAATTTCAAGAATCTCTATAACTATTGCCCTCCCGAAGATCAAGTTATCATTATAGAGCCAACAAATTTAATTCCATGGATCTTTCCTACTTCTCATGTCTATCTGAGCAAGGAAGAAAACTTCCACACACAATATAAATAAATAAAGAGGACAGATTGATGAAGACTTCTCTTTGGTGTAATCACTTCCCATGGAGACCTATTCACAAATATATAATATGTAACCAAAGTAACACATGACATAATTAACACAACCACACATGTGTGAAAGTTAAATTTTATCAACATTCCTTCCAAGAACATGTGAGAAACTCTATAATAGGTTTTAGTTATATCAAGCTTAAGAGCAAAATAACATTGCCTATAACTTCTATTATGCCCGAATAGTGGAATAACCCAAACACAATTAAGGCATTATCAATAATAAGCCTACTAAGTATAAAGATTGATTGTGTAGGATGCACAATACTATCCAGGAAATTATAACCATGTTTACAATGACATGTAGTTATTGCATAGACCTATGATAATATACGTATCTTTTTATACCCTTTTCATCTGCCATCCACACTTGCACTGGAGCTTATAAGGATTCCCTGTTGAAAACCTATGTTGTTCTTCGAAGAATCACTCTCTTAGATCCTTGAAAATCTACGTGCGTATTTCTACATTTTCCTACATCTTTGTGAATTTCTCTTTAAGAGTTATTACAATTGTCATCATGGCAAGCATTACCTTATATGTTGAGGAAAGTATAATATTTGACATCGACACTCATCTCAACTTCTTGAAAATAATTCCAAGTAAGAGCATTTGTTCCTCACACCATCTAGCAAAATCGCATGCGAGGGCATGTTATTAAATATGAGACTTTTGGATATGACAAGTGAATGAGAGCTCCTCCCTGCGAGTCATTCCAATAATATGAGTATTTTTTATTTTTAGAGCAATATCTCTGGATCGATTGAAGGAATAATGGAATATTTTATTTTATTCATCATTGAATTTTTTAGTAACTTTTGTAGAAAAATCTAGAGCTACATAGATAATTTATGTTTCATTGAAGCTTCTATAATGGGTATGGAGATTTTTCGATACTTTTGAGGACTTATTATTATAGATCCAAGTTAAGATGCTTGACACATGAAAAATATTCTTCTTGTTTGCAAGAAACTTTTACGGAATACTATCGAATATTTAAAAAAAAAAAATTGTTAGAGCAAGTCATCCATAGTCAATGAATATTCCTTACCATTCTCATAATCTTCCTAAAATAATATTGTGAACTATAATTAATGAAGGTACAAAATTGGACATTACTGATTCTAAGTTACGAGCTCTCTCTAACTATTCCTTTATGTTATAGGTGAATCAAGGCACTTCAGGATCATGGTTGATAAGGATGTACTGGTTAGTCGTAGAAATTGAGCACCATGAACATGAGACAAATTATAGTGCAAGACATTTGGCAAACTCCTAAGACAATCTTGGAGGTAACAATTTCAATAATGAATCATATCTTTAATTCACTCTTCAAGTAGATAAATTAGTATAAGTAAAGAAAAAGGTAGGTGATACGTTGTGTTTAAGCCTTTGCTACAATTTTTGGTGGCATTAAATCTACCCTACTCCTTGAACATTGGTCATGATATTTGTTTCGATCTTGACAACAGTGATATACATATTTTGGTGTGATACATTTATTAAAACTCAACAAGAACAAAAATCTTATGTGCAGCAGAGGGATAAAAAATTTAGCATGTTTGAACAAAGTTCTTCTTGACATGATGAAGAGATACAATTCTTCAACTTCTTGAACAACAATTTTCTTTAACAATTTTGAACAAAAAAATTTAATATAACACATTAATCCTTCCTAAAAATCAATCTTTTTACATGATCATCATTTTGAATAATGGAATGAGCATGAGATGGATTTAGGGAATAATCGCATCTGTTGCCGATTTGTGTGACTGATATTTTTCTCCAAACAAAAGTGCCCTTAGAATGGCCTCACATATGCCACTGTAATGGACAATCAAATGTCCTCCATCCGGAACTTCATGATACTGAATCCATGGTAGCTTTTTAGAAATATATCTTTGAAGTTGACATGGCACAACTTTATCTTCATAACCTTGCCAGATTTGAACACAGCTTTCATGTCCAGGGAATGGATCGTCAAGAACTACAGGATCAAACTCCCAGTCACCAAAACATACCATAAAGTCATCTCGAAGCGTATCGAAAACATCTTGCTGTTGTAATTTTTCCTGTAGGTAAAAATATTATAAGGTGAAACATCAAAGATAATTGCACATGAAACTTGCACTTTTGTGCTTCAGATTTAATGGTAAGAGTTGAAGAAAACATGCTATGTAATGCAGAACAAGAAGATTTTACTTTGGAATAAATTTTCCATGAAAGAAATATTTTGTAATTACAATTATTATCTGTATTTTTTAATTATCTAGGTTATTCAGGTTTATTTAGGTATTGAAGTATTTTAATATTCTTTTCATTAAATTTTAAATATTACAGGAATTAGAATCTTTTAGATTTTGACGTTTATAATTTTTCTTATTCATTGTAACTAATGCCTACACAAAACCTAGCTACCAACCAAAAAGAAGAAGATGACGATGAATTAAGAATTACTTTGTTGGGATTTTATTTCCAATTATCTCTTCTTGTGTTTTGTCGTTCTAGTTGTTGTTCTCTCTGATACATCCCCTTCATTCTACTTCCTCCTATATTTCTTCACCTTTACGCCTAATTTCATCTAACTTATCTTTCTTCTTAAACTTTGTAGGATCATTCTAGTTCTACCATTTCGTGTCCTACATTACTATGTCAATAATATCTGATTTTTCAATGCGTTTCAACAAAAGCCAAAGAAAAAAAGCTATCTTATAGTTACCCGGGTGAGCATCGGGAATCCTTTGGTCTTCTCAAGTACTTCTATGTCTCTGTTATTGAAGAATACCGGGTTTTTTTCAATGCCTGAAGTTAATGGGAACAGTTTTTGAGTAACCCACCAGTGTAGCAGTCCAGGTGCATATTTTAAAATCCAATATGACCACTTTATAAGTCTTCTCCTGTAATCCTTTTTTATCAGACTATCAGGAAGAGAAGGCCACCTATAATTGATGACCGGGACGACTAGAGCTGCACCTGCTAGCCTGCAAAAATAGATTTCAGGTAAGTCAGAAGATTCTGTGACATTGTTGAAGCACAGAAGACTCATATGCAAGTTAGATTTTGAAGTAATTGCCTGTGTGGAATATATTTGAGACAACTCCATGTGGGATATGATCCCATGGAGACTCCAATCACATAAAACTTGGGTCCTATCTCTAACTGATCAGCAAGTTCTTGAATGTCTAGAGCTTCGCTCTTCAACGTGCGCTTTGGGTTTGGATCACTGTCTCCATAGCCTGCTCGATCAAACTGCAGAAAGTATATCCCCCAATCTTCCATAAATTCCTGAAAACTAAAGTATGGTTAGATTTATTCTTTTTCCATGGAAATTTGCATAATAGACTTATTTCAGTCGATCCTAAATTCATGAGTGATTTAATCTATGGATTAAAGAAAAGAAAAGAAGAACAAAGATAGAGTTCAAGAGTATAAAAGAGGCGACACCTCTTAATATATGTGCAAGTAAATGACTGGAACTTCTGGCCAGACCTTCTTGCACTGCAATTATTTTGAAAGCATCTGTATTAGGGTTGATCCTACGCACATTTCCCAAATTATGTACGATAAAACCCAGAATCTAATTAACAACCTAAACTCATATTCCAAAACATTTGGTTGGGCTTCTGTTTTTGGTTCAAATATCCCTTATTCTCCTTACATAATTTCTCCTCAAATTCTGAATTCACATGGGAAAATTTCTATATCCTATTTTATCATATTGAAATCCAAACGTGAGAGAACTCTTGGGTCTGTTTGGGAAGATGGAAATGTAGAGAAGGGTAACGACACAATATTAATTTGGGGAAAATGAATCAAACAGAAACAGCTTAACCAGAAACATTAGAAATTAATCTGCTCTTCTTTTCCCTCCTTTTCTCGGTTCCTCAACAGATCCCAAAACATTTAAAAAGAGGAGAAAGTACCTGGGGAACATGGAAATTCATTTCCTTGGAGCTTCCAAATCCATGAACTACAATGATGTTGCACTTGGATTGGTTCTTGGGTACACCCCTCTCTTTGTAAGCCAGATATCTTCCATCTCGGAGCTTGATTCTCAGGGAACTCATAGAAAGATCTTCCTCTCCTAGCCTAAAAGAAAGAAAGAAAACATTCGGAGAAAACCCATCATTGAAGAACTAGAAAATTGAATATATGTAGATGGGTTACCTGAATACAAGTTTACAAGCAGAAGCAGGCGATTTCTTCTTCTTCTTTCTTCCTTTGGTTTTGAGTTGCAGGTGACAGCCGCAGCAAGTTTGACTCCAAATATTAAAATTCAAAACATGGAGACTGAGCTGGAGATGGAGATATTCCGTCGGGATGCCGGTGGTGGGCAGATTTAAGTTTCGTATGTCAATTATTATGCGAATCCGCTATTCAAATTTCCCTGTGTATATTATAATTTACCTTCTGAAATTTTCATCATCAACTTTATAAAATTACTTGCAATCTTGAAATCATGATATGTAGTTCACCACTCCCCATTTCTGGGTATCTTAGGTTCCAAACTCAATTTAGTATACAAGTGCAGTAATATTTAATACAAATAAATTAATTTTGAAAATTTAACACTTATTATAATTTAATTTTAATTAATTAGTAATAATAAGAAATTATATAATATTTTATTAATTTATTAACTTAATTAATTAAGCAAATTTATTCTTTTAAACTGAGTATGCTATATTATGAGTCTTTTCTAAGTTTATTTGCCACAAATTTCTTAATTGATTCTTTGTCTCCACTCTTTTTTTTTTAATAAAAAAAAAAAAAAAAATGCCCAATAACAATGATGTGAAAACCAAGTAACAGTTTGTAATTGTTTTATCCTCCTATACTAAATTAATTAACCAAGTAATTACTTCACCCACATGCATAATTGAATATTTTTCATATATATTTTTTCATGATTAATTAGATTTTAAAATGTAATATAAACAAAACATCATTTTATAAAAATTTATTTATAATTATATTAAAAATAATTTAAATGTTATTTATATAGACAAAAATTTATAAAAATAAAAGAATTTCTAATTTAAATATAAAAGAATTGTCCTATATATTTTTTTTAAAAGATCTGCATGATCAATGAAGTATAGGAAATAAACAGATAATCAAGATTTTATATAATATACCATTTCAAAATTTGTAATTAGTTACAAATTTAAATAGACTACTATTATATGTATTTGTAGTCAAATAAAAATTAAATTTTATTTTTATATTTAAAAAATTTAAATAAATAATTATTATAAAAATAATTAAAATACTAAATTGATCCATGTACTCTCTTAAAATATTTAAATTAGTCACTATATTATTTTTTTATAATTTTGATCTCTATATTTTTTAAAAAAATATATGATCTAATATCTAACCGTTAATGTAAATTAACATTACTAATAGAAATGTTATATGAACCGAAAACTTGACATGTATCACCATTTCTCCATCTCATTGTATAACACCCTGAACCTTTACGACTAAATCGAGATGTCAAACTCTTTTATTTTTGGGTCTCATGACCATTTGAATTTCGTCAGTATCTTGCTTTAAATTTTATTTTCACTTTAATTTATTTTTTATTAAAGATTTCAAGAATTTACTCTTATTTTATTTAAGTTAATTAAGCCTCATTTCAGGAAAAACTAAGAAAAAGAAGAAGGAAAAGAAGAAAAACAAAACAAAACAAAAAAAGAAAAACAACAAGCCCGCATATTAGTTGCTTGTGTGGGCGGGTGGGCAGCTCGCTTTTTGCTAGTCGCAGGCCACCTTGCCGATGTGACTAACTATCCCGTCGAGCAGCTCACCTTATTGTGTGGGTCGCACAGCCACCCAGTTTGCTCCACTTAGTCTTTATGATTTTCGTCAAGTGGCGCGAATCCGGCCTTTCTTGCCTCTTTATAAAGCCTTCCTCCTCTCTTCATTTTCTCACCACTTTTCTTCTTCAATTCTAGCAAATTTAGAGAAAGAAAAAGAGGAGATTTTAGAGAAAGAAAGAAGTGGAAGGAAGTAGGAAGCTCACAAGACCCTTTTATTCTTCACTCGAGATGGATCGAGATACGTTATGGTTACGATAAGGGATTCTTTACTATTTTTATTTATATTTCTAAGTGCCATTTTTAGTTAACTAATTTGGTAAAATTGAAGATTTATTGAAATAGAATTCTATGCTTGTTTTGGTGATTAATTTTTGAATATGTGAGACTTTATCCATAATGAATGTATTATAATGATGATTTGGGATATATGGTGGGATTGACCCTTTGTCTTACCTTGGTAATAGCAAAGAGTGTTGTTCTAAGGAGCTCTAACTTTAAAGAATATCCCGATGGTCAAATCCGGGTATAATGAACATTTAGCCGAATATGTTGTTGAACCTCCAACTAATTCTTGATGTGAAATAGCTGTGGATAAGGGATGGATCTAAAAATATGACAGTCATAAATGGATGAAAATCCATTTGGTTGTTATCTCTGAGGAGTTTCTATTTCTCCCTCTTTTGAAAAAATATTGGTAAACCACTTCTTGTGAATGATCGGCTTCCCTCTGACGAGAATGGATTTGCATAATGATATGTAAGGTCACAGTGGCGAAGTATGGCCATGGTCATAAATTATACCAAATATGGTTATAGAGCTAACTAAATATTGTTATGGAACTATCCCAATATGGTTATGGAATTGACCCAATATCGTTATAAAACTGTCTCAAATTGAGAAATGAATTGGCATGATTTGGTCATTCATAGTGGTAGATAGGAATCTCCTTTGCCCTCATTAGATATATGTTAGAATCACTTCGTGCGAAGGTCAGTAAAAGACTTGGTAAAATACGAAGGTGATTGAGGCTAATTGTATGATGGTGCTTTTACTCTAAATCTTATTTTGAATTGCTTCTGTTGAATTTTATGTTCATGATTTGTTCTATGCTATTTCTGTCTTTACTATATTGATATGATTGCCTATTTTCGTAGGTCAAATAACGATTTTTTCTAAGTATTTAAAATATGCTCGTCCATGGAA